CCTGAGATGGAGTCTTGCTCTGTTGCCCAGGCTGGAATGTAATGATATTGGCTCACTGCAACCTCTGCTTCCTGGGCTCAAGTGATTCTCCTGCCTCAGCCTCCTGAGTAGCTGGGATTAGCCACCATGCCTGGCTAATTTTTATATTTTTCAGTAGAAACAGGGTTTCACCATGTTGGTCAGGCTGGTCTTGAACTCCTGACCTCGGGTCCACCCGCCTCAGCCTCCCAAAGTGCTGGGATTATAGGTGTGAGCCACCGTGCCTGGTCATATTTCTGCTCTAATATTTCTTTCTTTCTTAATTTGAATGTATTCTGATTTTTTCCCTAAATTTAAACAATTTTATCTATAAATCTCTCTCTATGAATCTCTAAAAGATAAGGAACTCCCTTTCCCTTTTTAAAAATGATAACCACAATACCATTATCACATCTTAAAAATTTAAGTGATTCCTAAATACTATCCATTATATAGTCAGTGCTCAAATGTCTCATAAATGTTTAACTTCAGAGTTTACTTTGAATCAAGACGAAAATAGCTCATATATTGCAATTGGTTGATATACTGCTTAAGTCTCTCTGAATGCTGAGTTTTCCCTTTTGAAATTTTGTTATAAAAACAATTAAATTTAAATTTATTTTGAAAAGCTAGGTCAGTTGTTCTGCATAGTTTCCCATGGTCTGAATTGTGCTGATTAAATCCCTGTGGCGTCATTTAACATTTTCCTCTGTCCTCTAAATATTAGTAGTTTAGAGTCTCTCTCTCTCTTTTTTTTAAAGAGACAGGGTCTTGCACTATCACCCAGGCTGGAGTCCAGTGGTGTGATCATAGCTCACTGTCTTTGAACTCCTGTGCGCTAGCTATCCTCCCGTGTCAGCCTCCTGAGTGGGACTACAAGTGTGTGCCACCACATCTGGCTATTTAAAAAATATTTTTGTAGAGATGGGGTCTCACTATGTTCCCAAGGCCGGTCTCAAACTCCTGGCCTCCAGCAATCCTCTCTAAAGTCTTGATCAGATTCAGATTAAAAAATATATATGTATATTTTTAGATTACTTCATAAGCAGTTTTTCTTTACTTTTTAAGCTAGATGTTTACCTAATTGTGTTTACTCTACTTTTTAATATAAGCACTATAAATTTCCTAATAGTAGCCCTCACTCTCTCATTTTTTCTATGGTCTGGTATTCTGCTTTACACAGAATTATAGGGAATTTAGGGTGAATAATTTCTATCTAAGTACCACTTTAACTGCATCTCACAAACATTGATCTATGTATCATTTTTATTCTTATTTAGTTTTAAATACATCCTAATTTCCATTATAATTTCTTCTATGACAGCTGAGTTCATGAAAAGTGTTTCTCTATTTACAACTTTATGAATCTGTCATCTATTTCTAATAAATGCATTGTGTTCAGAAGAAGTAATCTGTGTGATAATGATTACTGGGATTTGCTCTGTAACCCACTATAGGACAATTTTTGTTAATGTTCACTATGTTTTAAATAATTTTCTGGCAATTCTGGAGAACAGGAAAGCTGTGTTTTTCCTTGGAAAGACCTTACTTCCACTCAGCTGCTTCTGGGAAGTGGCTGCTTTGAAGTGGTCCATGCACTAATCTGTCCTATCTGTCTGTGACAGTGTTGCCCCTGCTAGAAGCAGTTTCCGTCAATTGGATTTTCTGGACTAATTGGTTGAGGAAAATAATCAAAATGGTCAAAGGAACAACTAGGGACTCCCAGAGTGCCTACATGCAGTGGCTGACTCCTTACCACACTGATGGCGGCAGACTCAGCTCCACCAGAGGAGCTAGAACGGCACAAAAACTGACCCTGGAACAGCCAGTACCTACAGACTTGGCTGCCAGGATTCTTAGCTGACTCCACCATCTCTAACTAACTAAACTCAATTTGTATCTCAAGGAACTTCTTTCAAGGAGATAACTTGGTAACAGGAATTTATAAGATTGAACAAATGGCTCGGTCTTAGACAACTGTGCTTCCTGGTGTGCATCCCTGGTTCAGAGAAGTAGGCCACACTTTGGGATGCCCACACCAGTGCCATAAGCTCTCTTGCCACCATGTGAACTCCACCTTCCCCCACCCCAGATCCTGAGACGTGCCACACAGGAGCAGATCCGTGGCAGGATGCACTTACATTATGAACATTTGGTGTACTGAGGCTCCTCCGAATGTGCCGGGCTTTGGTGGAAAGGGCTTCTTTGACCGTGACGGCCTGTAAACATAATAATTTGAAAATAATACCTTTTTTTTTTCCTATCAGAGATAGAGTCTCACTCTGTTGCCCAGGCTGGAGAGTGCAGTCGTGCGATCTTGGCTCACTGCAACCTCTGCCTCCCAGGTTCAAGCAACTCTCCTGCCTCAGTCTCCCAAGTAGCTGGGACTACAGGTGCATGCCACCATGCCTGGCTAATTTTTTTTTGTATTTTAGTAGAGATGGGGTTTCACCGTGTTACCCAGGCTGGTCTCAAACTCCTGAGCTCAGGTAATGTCCTTGCAAAGTGCTAGGATTACAGGCGTTGGCCACTGCACCTGGCCAATACTTTATTTTTTTATTCTATTTATAAAAGTAATAGATTTAAGTATTGACTACTTCAGTTCTACATACACATACATTTATAAAACTGGAATATTATTTTACCCACCTATTATTTGCTTAACAATTTATCAAAAACATTTTTTTAAAGATAAATAAAACTGCAGGGTGTGGTGGTTCATGTCTGAATCCCAGCACTTTGGGAGACTGAAGCAGGTGGATCAATTGAGACAGGAGTTTGAGACCAGCCGGCCAAAATGGCGAAACCCCATCTCTACTAAAAAATACGAAAATTAGCTGGGTGTGGGGGTGGGTGCCTGTGGTTCCAGCTACCTGGAAGGCTGAGGCATGAGAACTGCTTGAATCTGGGAGGCAGAGGTTGCAGTGAGCTGGGATTGCGCCACTGCACTCCAGCCTGGGTGACAGAGCAAGATTCTGTCTCAAAAATAAACAAACAAACAAATAAATAAAACCAGAAAAACAGCAGAATGAAAGACATTTATGTTGTGAAATTTTTATACAGGTGGACAGAGGAAACGTAGAAGAGAGGCCGCTAACTCTATATCTCACTTGCAAAACGACAACGAAGTGTGATGCTGTTTGTACTTTACTCAAGTAGCAATTCAGGTGGGATTTCCACTAAGGGAAGATTTTTCTGACAGACGCCAATCATATTCCTCCTATTAATCAACACACACCCTCCACCATGTCAGCTGTCGCTCCTATGAAATGACACATCTCGTCTTATAGTTCCATTACTTCGTGGATTATTTTCACTTGAATGTCCTGTTGTCACCTCAAAAGTTAACTCAGGTCTAAAAATTAGGGAGATAATAATAGTCTCTGATTAAGCATATGGGCTTTGGAGTCAAACTATTTGGCTTTACATCTGACTTTGAACCTCTTCCTAGCTGTGTAACCATGAGTGAGTTAGCTAACTTCTGTCAGTCTTAATTTTCTCATTTGAAAATGGGGATTTCAGTTGGTTCCAGGTCTTTGCTATTGTAAACAGTGCTGTAATGAACATTCGTGTGCATGTGTCCTTATAGTAGAACGATTTATAATCCTTTGGATATATACCCAGTAACGGGATTGCTGGGTCAAATGGAATTGATAGACTGGACAGGGAAAAATGTGACACATATACACCATGGAATATTATGCAGCCATAAAAAACGAGTTCGTGCCCTTTGTAGGGACATGGATGAACTTGGAAACCATCATTCTCAGCAAACTGACACAAGAGCAGAAAATCAAACACCACATGTTCTCATTCATAGGCAGGTGTTGAACAATGAGAACACATGGACACAGGGAGGGGAGCACTACACACTGGGGTCTGTTGGGGGGAAATAGGGGAGGGACAGAGGGGGGAGGGGAGTTGGGGAGAGATAGCATGGGGAGAAATGCCAGATATAGGTGATGGGGAGGAAGGCAGCAAATCACACTGCCATGTGTGTGCCTATGCAATAATCTTGCATGTTCTTCACATGCACCCCAAAACCGAAAATGCAATAAAATAAATTTAAAAAAAAAAAGAAAATGGGGATTTCAACAGTACTTATCTCAGGGGGTTATCTTGAAGATTAAATAAAATAATATATCCACATTACTCAGGCTCAGTGTTTGGCAAATAGGAAGTATTCAGTAAAAGTTAGTCATTTTTATTACTGTTTTGCCAGAATCCTTTCAATGAGATGGCTACTCAAGCGCTCCTTCTCTGATAGATTTAGTATTTGGTAAATAAATTCATGTCTGTCCATTGTGGGTGAAGGCTAGTGATTTCATCCTTGGTCCAGATATTCAGTTACTTGCCTGCCGGAGCCGTTCAAGACTCAGAATGTTTTCCACCTGCAGCACACCCCGAGTGTACTTCTCAATGTACGTCTCCCCGTCTGACGTGCCTTCGTTTTCACTCCTTGCTGCCAGGAGAGCCAGCGTTTCCCGGTCCTCTATCTCCTCAGTTGCCTAAAAGGACAGGAAGGAAATGACAATACTTTGATGTGAACAATATTTTCTTCCAAAGTGTGGTGAGAAAATGTTTTAGAAGTCTGGAGAATGAACACATTTTCCATTATTTATATACTGATATTTTTAAAAGTAGCATATATTTTACCTTTGGTATATTGGATACTATTTCATAAGTTACACCACAGGAATAAACTATATTTTTCAGGGATATTCTCCTCTTCAAACTCTGCGTGAAACTCTGGTTAAAAAAAAAGCTGAATTAAGCTATATGACAAATGTAAGTTATTTTGTATTTTACAAATATTAAAAGCATTATGAGTTACTATGTTTTTGATATGCACAATACCCAGCATAAGAGAAAAGAACTGAAGCTAAGAATCCCTATCTCCAAACCCAAGGGGTACTAACGTCCAGCTGTTAGTTGGGAATTAGACTATAGAATCTGCAGCATGTTCAGGGTTTCTGTGGTTGCTTCTCTCTCCCATCTGCTGCCTTCCTTTGATCTCTCCAGGGTTTAATCAGTCATTGCTGAGAGGCCAGACAACACCGGAGAGGATCAGTTTCACTGACAGCACCTCTGAGATAGGATCCATCAAAGCAGCAGGATAGAGATTTGTCTGGAGTCTGCCTCTTGCCCTGGTTTTGTCATTCACCTGCTTGGACTTGGCACTTAATCTCTCAGCCTCAGTTTTTCTACTTTTCAAACAGTGAAATACCACAGCTCCACTGCCTGTTAGGATTCTATGTCTCCAAACAGTCAAGGTGAAAATGCCCTTACTGGATGACACTGACCTCTGCTATCCTAATACCCACTATCTTGGATAAATGAGAATCGGACTATAACTTGGCCAGGATGGTCACATTTTGCACATCCCCTGCATTAGCACCACAAAACACTGCTTTGTGATAGACAGAGGGAAAAAAGTTTGAGCTTAGAGCCAGAATGGGAGAATCAGGCCTTGTTATTACCTGCTTGTTGTAAATATTGGCGGCAATCCGTTTTCGTAATACAAGCTCCATAGCAGCCGGGTGGCTGAGCTGGACTGTGGTTTTCACAATTAGGTAAATCCTTTCATTCTGTGGTGTGACCCTATTCAAGTGAACAGAATCATGCACCGAGGAATCCCAAGAGGCTGTGACTGAAACCTAGGAGTAGGGGAATGAGGGG